AAAAAAAAAAAAAAAAAACTTTTTCCAAAGGCCAAAAACAAATAAAAGTTCCATTCTTGCCACTTCTATTCAACAATTTATTAGGGTTCCTAGATAGTAATAAGATATAAAAGACATCTAGATTGGAAAGTACAAAATAAAACCATCATGTTTTCAGATGGTCTGATCATTTACAAAGAAAATCCTATAGGATCAATCATTTTCTAAAGCTAATAAAGATTTGGTAAGGTTTTGAATATAACAGCAACATAAAGCTACTAAAGTTCTGTATATTAGCTATAAATAATTAGAAGAGTTTGGTTTTTCTTTTTCCTTTTTTGACGTAAGGGTCTGTTTATGGCTCATGTCTAGATGTCCTCTCAAAGCCTCATGTGGTCATAGGTGGAGTTTCTTCAGAGGTGGCTGGATCTAGTAGTGTATGTGATGATGGGATTGCTTAATTAGTTCACTAATTGGTTTGACTGGGTAGGATTGCTGGGTAGGATTAAGGACACCTTACCCTGGGTGTGAGTGTTACACACTTTAGGGGCCAGTAGCCTGGATAAAACGTAAGGGACAGAAAGAAGATTAGCTTCCTTGCTTGTCACTTTTTGCGTGCTACCTTCTGCCCATCCTGCTTTCCCATGAACTGTTTTTTCCTCTGTGATGGGTTTCTGCCATACCTAAGCTTATCTTACAGCCAGCCAACTACTACGAAGGGGAACTTTTACAAACTGTGAACTGTATAAACTTTTTCTCCTTTAACTTTGGATGTCAGGTATTTTATCTCAGCAATGAGAAAAATAACTAAGGGTCTCACTAAGTAGGTAAGACTGGCCTTGAATTCACTATGTAGCCCAGGCTGGCCTCAAACTTGCAAGATCTTCTTTCCTGCCTCAGCCTCCAAGTGCTGGAATCATAGATATGTAGCACCACACAAGGCTAAAAACTGACTTATCAAAAAAATACAATTTACAACAGAATGAAATAATAGCAAATATATAAAAATTAAGTTAAAAGGGGCTGGGGATTTAGCTCAGCGGCATAAGCGCCTGCCTTGAAAGCAGGCAGTCGTGAGTTCGATCCCTGGTACCAATAAAAACGAAAAAGACAAAAAAAAAAAAAATTAAGCTAAAAGAAAATGTACAATACCTATATGCATCTGAGATTGAAAACTTATACGCAGGAGTCCTCCCCCACAAAAAAACAACTTTGATGCAAAGATATTCTGTGACCAAAGACTCAATCTTTAAAATATTAATTCTCCCTCAACTATTCTATAGACTAATGCAGTTTCAAAATATTAGTAGTCTTATTCTTATACATTGGCAATCATATTTTAAAATTCATATAAACATTCAAAGAACTGGGCTGAGGATATAGGGTGTTTGCCTGGCACAGAGGCTCTGAGTTCAATGCCTAGCACCACAAAAACAGGCAAAAGGCAAAGAAATGAAAGAAGGGGAGGAGGAGAGGTTGTTCAAAAACCTATCAGCAAAATTAGCTAACAACACAGCTGTTTAAAAATTACAGTAGTGAGCCTGGCATGGTGGCACAAGCCTGTAACCCCAGAACTCAGGAGGCTGAGGCAGAAGACTACCCCAAGATCAAGGCCAGTTTAGATTACGTTAAATTTAAAACCAGCCTAAACTATATAGTGAGAACCTGTCACCAAAAAAAAAACCCTTACAGTAGTCAATTATTAAAATTCCCTATTAAGTTGACTTAAATGTGCTCTACTAACATTAAACACTGTAGAAAGAGCCCTAAAGCTCAGAATAAATATACTCCTGAATTCCTTTACCAAGCCCTATCTTTTTACAAACATAAGATAAAAAAAGGCAAGCCGGAAATTTAGCTCAGCAGCATATGCGCCTGCCTTGCAAGCGCGAGGTCATGAGTTCGAACCCCAGTACAAAAAAAAAAAAAAAAAAAACAAGGCAAAGTTACCCCAAAATGACTTTTCCCGGTCCAAGTCTTCTACTACCCATTAGAGTTAAGAAGGAAGCTATACCACCCACCTCCACTCTCTCACTTCAAAATACTCCAGGCCTGCCTGCCTAAAGGTTACACAGCTGTATGTGTAACTTGATCCCTGCTTATTCTGTGTTAGAGCCAGAGGCCTGCACCCGCCTCAGCCCACACATTCTCTGGAGCCCTTCTTGCACTTAGGCGCATTTCATTTACTACAGCTATATAGCGAACAATCTGATTATTTCCTTTAAAATTCTTTTATTTTGTACGGGGGATTGAAATTGTGATCTTGCGCTTGCCAGGCAGGTGCTTATGCCACTGAGCTAAATCCCCAGCCCTTCCTTTAAAATTCTTAATCATGACTCTCACATTTAAGTATCTTGTGGCTACCCAGCAATCAGACTAAATCTCCCTAGATTTTCTTTCCTCTTATTATAGTAATAGTTTGCATCTTTTTTCTCTGCTCAAATCTTATACTACCCTCACTATTCTCATTCTCAGAGTTAGCTTATCTCATGGAAAATAAAATCAAAATTTATCCCAAAACATTTCCATAAACACTACCCATTCAATTCTCTATACCTGCTCTATTTTCCACATTTTTCTGCCTTCTCTTTCATTACAGTACTAGAGCCTGCTTTTCAATTTGGCAGATCTCCTTTTCAGACATTTCAGAGTATCATTCTAACAGTTTCCTCATCTTTATCATTACTTCCCCCTTTCTACTGGACCATTCCTTCTAGTACACCATCATGTTGTTATTTCTCTCATTTAAAAAATATCTTTCTTCCTCCCCATTTCCCAGTCAGTTATCTTCTATTCCTCTTTCTAGCAAAGTTCCTGAAAGCAGTCATTCACACACTCTGGGATGTGAGGGCGATCTGGCTGTGGTATCTGTCACCCCAATGATTACCAGGGTTGACCCAGTTGATCTAGCTGGCTAGGCAGGTGTCCCCTTCCTCCCTCAACGATCCATGTGAGTTCCTCCCAAAGCTGCGCGCTCAGTTGAAGAGGACAAACACTTGATAAAGGAGGACCATTCCTCAGTCAAGGGTATATGAGTAGTTGTGCTCCCTTTCTAGAGATCTTCAAACAAGCTCTCACACTCACTCTCTGACTTTTCTCCTACCATCATAGGTTCAACATTACATGGCAAAAGGGACTTCATGGATATTGTTAAGCTCACAAACTGAAAAATAAGGAAATTATTTAGATAGGCCCAATCTAATCACATGAGCACTTAAGAGAATTTTCTCTGACTAAAGACAGATGGGTTGCAACAGAAGCAGAAAGAGAAATTCCAACCTTAAGAAAGATTCAACATGTCACTGCTGGCTCTGGGACAGAGGGAATCACAAGGCAGAAGATCCAAGGAGTTGACAGAAGCCCTAGCCCAGGGTGGGCCCCAGCTGACAACCAACATGGAAGTGGGCACTTGAATCCTACAAACCGTGAGGAATCAAATCATGTCACACTGAACAACATCTAAAAGCAGATTCAGATAAGAACCCAAGCTACCCAACATTTTGATTTTACCCTTTACTGGAGTATATGAACCAGGTGAGTCCACTCAAATTTATGGTGCATAGAATAGTAACTTAACTTTATCTCATTTTAAACTGCTAAATGTGAGGCAATATGAAACTAACAACATACCCAAAATTGAATTCTTTACCTTCTACCCAATTTATACAGTCTTTCCTATCTTTGTTTTGTTTTGGATTTTTGGGTATTTGTTTGGGCTGGTTGGTTGGGTTGAGACAGGATCTTGCTATGTCACGCTGTCCTTAAACTTCTAACAATCTCCTGACTCAGTCTCCCAAATGCTGGGATTACAGGTGCACATAAACACATCCCAACCTCATAACTTTGTTAACATCAATTCTAGTCCTTCTACCTAACTGGACCAAATCCTTTGGTGTTTGTTTGTTTACTTGCTTGCTTTTTGGTCTTTTTGAGACAGGGTCTTACTAAGAAGTTCAGTTTGGCCTTGGGCTCACTTTGTAGCCCAGGATGGTCTCCAACTTGCAACAATCCTTATGCCTCAGCCTCTGAATGCTTGGATTACGGAAGTGCACCACCATACTTAGCTCTGGACCAAATCCTTTGGAATCATAGATGGGTCCTCTCTTTCCCTTATACCTCTGACTTACCTGTTTTAAAAAAAAAAAAAAAAAAATCACATAGGTTCTACCTTTAATGTGTTCCGAATGTGTGTGTCTCTCACCACTTGCCCACTGTGATTGTCACCTAAACTGGATGACCACAACTCTGGATGTTACTAACTCCTGCTCCTAATCCACTCTCTATAGAATCTATCCACAACAAAGCTGCCAGAGTTTCTTTCCCAATTCAAACCAGATCATGTTATTCAAAACCCTCCAAGGGCTCATTTTTCATTTAAAGTAAACACAAAACCCTTGCACTGGCTTATACAATGCTTTCTCACTTCCTTACTCTATTCCAACCACTTGTGGCCTGCCTCCATTTTCACCATAAGCATGTAATGATGTACTAATACTTAACATTTGCTAAATAATACTATGAGTACAGATATCATTTTGTATTAAATGTATTATCTATTCCATTTCACTATTTCCACCACTTTACAGGTAATGAAACTGAATCACAGAAAGGTAAATTAACACTTCAATCAGTAAGTAGCGAAATCAGACTTCAAAAAAAAATCGCAGACCAGCCAGGGATATAGCCCAGGGCACAATACCTGCCTGACAAGCTGCAGATGGTTAAGTTCAGTTCCTGATAACAAAAAACAACAGAACATAACAGAAAATAAAATCACAGATCAAGTCTACTCCATGCCCAAATTCCTAATTTTCATAGTGTCCCTTACTTGTCAGCCTTATTTACTCCTTGGAGACCCATTAGAATAAACAGAAAAAAGGATTAGAAGTGGGAATCCTAAGCAATTCATGTATGGTTAGAGAGGCAGGAAAACTTAGAATCAGGACACTGGGAATAAAAATATTTCTCAGAGGTAAAATTCAGCATATAGCTAGTTATTAAATAAAATACTTAACACTTACTTTTTCTGTTGTAACAGTCAGTGATGGAATCAAAGCAGCTGATGGTTCTGGTTGCTTCTTATGTTTTTGTTTGTGCTTGTCCTTCTCTTTGTATTTCTAAAAATGAACCAAGATAAAATCAAATTGTAATTCATTCAAATGCAGTAAAGATTCTTTTTATAACTGAAAATTTCAAACTTTAACAAATACTTTTACCAAAAAATAACTTCGTAACTTAACCCTCTCATATATAAAAAAATACTCCCATACACAAAAAGTAATCTATTTTAAAATAACATATTCTCCTTTACCCTTAATCAATCTAAATACCAAAAACCCAACCAAAATCTGAAACTATTTTGTTAATTTGTATTTGGCAAAATATATACTCTTTCCTTATTAAAACACCAAGCATCTTTTTATAAACAGCACTTTTAAAGTTTATGTCACAGTCAGCGTGTGTTCACATTTGAAAAAGTACCATATTCTCCACCACCATGCATTGGATTCTGCAGCCCAAAAACCACGGATCAGGATTCAAGAACTCTGCCAGGTTTAGCCAATACATGGATAAACTGATTGTCTCTATCAATAACAATGTTAAAAGTAGACAAAGTCAAGTGTGTTACTATGAAGAACTTAAATTAGTAAACAAAATCTAAAAAGCAATTTGATTCAATAAGATAATAGTTACATATTAGAAACCCAATTTTGCTGGGTTTGCTGTTTGAACTGAACTGGTTTAAAAACAGAATTCTGGAGTCCAATGTGCCGGCCCCATGCCTATCATTTTAGCTCCTCAGGACAGGGAGGCAGGAGGATCGCAAGTTCAAGGCCGTGGTCAGACAGGGCAATGTGAGACCTCTATCTCCCCAAAATATAAAGGGCTGGAATGTAGATCACCAACAGGGTGCCCTGGGCTTAATCTCTAGTACTACAAAAGAAAAACAGTATTGGGTGTGAAATTTGCTACTATGTTTTAAGAGCTGAATTTATTTCATAGTGCTTTATTCAGAGCACTTAATCTGCTCAAGGCATGAAAGACTAATTTCCCTGTCTCTACCAGGAAAGAGACTGCACACCAGCAGAACAAAGAAAAAATTAAGGATACACATTTTACTACAAATGCTTCCCTTCTTTGCTTTTAATTCGTGATCTAAGCACTTAAGACATTTTCTGACTGTTAATATTGTTGTAAAAGAAAATAAATTAACAACACTTTTTACTCAAACCCTGTGGCAAAGTTTCTAGTTCCTGTAATTGCGGCAGACGACTACTCTTGGTTTGGGGGGGGAGGGGTTGTTTTGTTTTGTTTTTTGGTACTGGCAACTCACAACCTCACATTTGCCAGGCAGGCACTTGTGCCACTGAGCTATATCCCAGTCCTGATATTTCTTTTTAGCACTGCTCCTCCCATCATAAAATGTCCTCTTCTCCACTCCCTTAAACCTGAGTTAGTGTATGGGTTCTAGACATCAGGGCTTTGCAAAGGTTAACAGGGGTTCTACCTTTGCTCCCCTGAATCCAAGCCACCATGTGCAGAATTATTCCAGACTCTCCTAACAGACAGGCCAAGTGCAGAACGTGGCCATCTGGGGAAGAAAGGAAACACCTGCCACAGGCAGCAGTACCCAGCCCCAGGCATGTGAACAGGGCAGCAGTGACCACCTGGCCAGCCTCTAGCCTAGTGCAGTCACATGAATAACCCATACATGGAAGAAAGACCCAACCTTTCGTGTAAAGAAGCTAAGGACAATTATATGGGAGTTTTCAACCCAAGTTTTAAAAGTAAACTACCAACCAAAGGACAGTGTTCAAATTAAAGTGGGGAAAGAATTCATTCAGAAGGCAATAAAGGAGCTACACATGGTGGTGCACATCTGTAATCTCAGCTAGGAAGAAAGAGACAGGAGGAGCAAAGTCTCAAAGCCAAGACAACATGTCAAGATTCTTTCTCAAAATAAAAAAGGACTGAGAATGCAGCACAGTGGCACCATATATAAGACCTTATCTGAGTTTAATCCCCAATAAACAAACACCACCACTCCAAATTTAAGTAAAGATAACATTAAGTGTCAACATTCAGGCCCAAAGGAATTATAATAGTTCAGGTATTGGGAAGAGTACACAGATAGCCAATGAACCACTGACAAACCTCTGTGCCAAACTAATAGGTGAATTCCAGAAGAGAGTATCAACAGCTTAAGGTACCTTCTCAGAAAAACTCAACTAGCAAAGGTTTGCTACCACATAGAAAAAAATGTTGTCATTAATTAGGAATGACAGGCCACTGGGAAGCCCAATGTTAGAAATTCCTACTTGCTCACAAAGTAATAATGAAAAAGAAAGCATGATTATAAGATAACTCAATTATTTTGTTGTTGGAATTGAGTGTATTTCTAGTAAAAAAGAAGTGTCTAGCCAGGTGTGGTGTGCCTGTAATCCCAGCACTTGGGAGGCTGAGGCAGGAGGATCATTTCAAGTTCGAGACCAGCCTGGGCTACAAAGTGAGCTCAAGGCCTGCCCAAACTGCACAGAGACACCGTCTCAAAAAGACCAAAAAAAAAAAGTTTCTTTATTCAAATATGAAATGTTCTTTCAAATATAAATCACACCAATCTCCAGTAATGGTATGGCATCATTTTTTTTCCCAAACCCATTTTATTTTAAGGAGAAAAAGATTTTTTAAAAGAAAAAGAGGGCCTGGGGATTTAGTTCAGCAGCATGAACGCCTGCCTGGCAAGCACTAGGTCGTGAATTCGATCCCAACTACAAAAAAAAAAAAAGATAAAAGTATCACAGTTGATAGTGTTAATGAAGTTTTGGGGCCAGGGATTTAGCTCAGTGGCATAAGCGCCTGCCTGGCTTGCGCTAGGTCATGAGGTTGATCCCCAGTACCAAAAATTTTTTTTTAAAAAGAAGAAGAAAAACTAAAACAAAATTTCAAAACATGTCAATCAGGGGGCAACAATGGTACATATATTATACGCTGTCATCCCCAAATTATTCACTGAGCACACATCTGCATTGAACTGTCTGAACAATAATAGCACAAATAACAGCACAAATCTTTCTTCAGTGAATTGAGAAAAATCTGCAGTATAACTCACTTAACTATTTTTATATACATATATACATGTTTTTCTTCAGCTTGTCACACTAATGAAACATGTGTCTTATTTATCTCACTATGTTCTCAAGATGCATCCATTTACCTATGATATGAAAGTGTCAAGTTTATCTTTCTTTGTGGCTGAGTAGTACTCCATTATATAAAAATACAACATCTTTTTTTATCCATTTTCTGAGTTGATGGACATTTAGGTTGTTTCTTTTTTTTTTAATTCAGGTTGTTTTTAAGATCTGATTATTACAAAATGTGCTGCTATAAATATGGATGCACATATATCACTGTGGTATGATGTTTTTAATTCTTTTGGAAAGATACCCAGAAGGGGCTGAGTCAAATAGGATCTCTAGTGCTAGTTTTCTAAGGAATTTCCATTCTGAGTTCCACAGTGGTTGCACCACACTGCATTTCCATGAACAGTGGAAAAAGATTCCTTTTTTCCCATAGCCTCTCTAGCATTTGTTATTACTGGATTTCTTGGTAACAGGCCATTCTTTCTGGAATGAGATTTAATCTCAGTATTGTTTTAATTTGCATCTCTCAAATGACTAGTGATGTGGAACATTTTTTCACATATTTATTTACTGTTTGTATTTTTTCATGGTATGGCATTTTAAAAGGTAATTTGAAATCACATATTTTTCCAGTATCAAAAATTTTTAAAAAGTTAAAACCACCAAACCAACCAACCAACCAACCAACCAACAAAAGCGGGGACAAGGGCAGATGATACTACATTAAAAACTCATTAGGAAGGGTGTGGGGAACCATAGAGATGACTACTTGACTCTCCTTGAAAAGAAGAGCAACTATCTCCATTTTGGGTAAACTCCACCCTATCTCCATGTATTGATATGTACAGAGCTGGCTAGGCTATTTCTTGGTCCCTTCAATTTGCTTTAAGCAATGTAAAGTGGGCTGGTGGAGCAGCTGATGTGTAATCTCCGAAGCAAGGCAAAAGGTCAGTGTTTTCTGGCCCAGTGACTTCCCAAATATGTGGTGGAGCTGGGTGAGATGGAGAGCCGTGCTCCATGCTATCTGCTGGGACTGAGCCTTGAGAAAGAGGCTGTGACTTCCCAGGGCAAAAAGAATTGTACATCAGAACTGAAATACTAGATCCCAAATGATTAGAAACGACCTCAGTTGTGCTATGCAGACTACTGGCTCTGCATTACTTGCCCTCTAAATATTGCTGAGGTAATCTCAGACTTGCTACTTAGCCGAGCTCATCATAGTCATAGAAGTCGCGTGTATCTCACCTCTCTCACTGTCACTCATCCCTGAGCCACTCCCCTCATGGAGAATTAATAAAACCTGGGAAGAGCTCTGGGTTGAGGGTCTTTGTTCTGGTGAATCACCATCTTGGCTAGACTTAGGACCCCTTGTATATATGTATCAGTGACTTTATTCTCGTCATCGGTTGCATTGAAGTGGTAGACTGGAATTAATTCATTAGAATTCCAGCAAATTTCTCCTTGGGGTTACGATTATAAACCTTCCTAGATTGTGATGAGGATGGGAAAGGGTTCTCTATAAGGGGTGATACGAAATTGTAGAGAAGCCAGGTGTGATGGCACACACCTATAATTCCACACTCACAGCTGAGTTGGAGTACCACAAGTTCAAGGCCAGCCTGAGCTACAATGCAGTGAGTTTAAGGTCAGCCTTAACTACAAGGTAAAAGCCTGTTTCAAAAAAACAAAAGGAAAATGACTTTAGAAAACAGTGAAAACTGTTTTAGACTGACCTTATAGGATTCAGCCCTTAATCTTTCTTATAATTCCTAAAATTCTGAGACTACAACTAAAACTTTAAACTCTGGAGAGAGCACTCTTCCCTCTTATTTCTCTGTCTACTTAACTTTTTCTGCCTAAACAGTGCTGTATTGGCTTCAGGTAATAAGTAGAAAACTAAAGGGAAAAAAGGAAATTAAAGGTGCTAAGAATAGTAAGTATTTATACTCCTACAGAGGAATGAGATGCACTCA